AATCTTCTAGCCACATTCCATATAACAACAAATAAGTTACTGAAAGAGAAAAAGAGAATCATTCATGAAAAACTAAACATACAAGAATGACAAGATTTTATCAAGATCAAAGAAACAACATACATATAGTTGCTCTTTTTGATTTTGCATATCTATCTCTAAGATAAGCTACTTCTGCTTTTGTATTCTAATCCAGCTCCTAAACAAGAAATCATGTTTCAATGAGTTAACACTAACATATGCATTTTTCAGCACTTAAACTTTTTTGAAACAATTTAAACTGATATTATGTTAAAATTGCAACATGATATAGTTTGAAATATCAGTTTAAACTCATGCAACGAGAAAAAGAAAAGAACTTGTATATAAAATCTTAGTAAACAAGACCTGAAAGTGTCTTCTCTGAAGCCACTGATCATTGTTCGAACTCAGAAATGATGTATCATTAAATGACAAACACAAAATAACATAAATGATGATCGAAATTATGAGCCTGTAACCCTTGGCTGTTGCAATGAAGGCTAATCCAACACCATTATTACCACTTGTTCGTTCAATGAGAACACTCTTTAATAAAATAAGAAACCCACATGCAAAACAGTTATTAACGGCCAACTACGATATACAGTAAACTAATAACCATATGCAAAACATTATACTTATCAATTTCAAAAATAAATGAAGTATCATTAAGATCTAAAATGAATGATATGATAGTAACATAAATTGTGATGCTTTCGCTTCCAAGCGACACCGTTTCAGAGAAGACACTTTTCTATACAAGTCTTAGTAAGCAATAAACAATGTAATTATATTCAGTAGCATTCCAATTAGGAAAAAATAAGGAATCAAACCAACCTCCATTGTATTCAGTAGCACTTATGATTTTGAAATATCAGCGTATTTTTATGTGAAATACTATTAATCTGCAAAACTAAATACAACAAAAAATAAGACAAAGTTTAAATGCTCCAAACAAAAATAATTATTACTTGAGCACATCATACCATCAACATAAAAGGAAACATGTGTTTCCAACTAAAACCATAGTTGAGCAATTTATATACGTCATGTTAGTGTGTGAGACACTTTTTATGAAGAGAGAAAGATAGAATAACAAGAATATAATGATTATATTATTCATTTGAATTTTTTTGTTGTACAAATAATGATACAAACTATGATTATTTATATACAACCCTAATTTAGTTTGGACTTTCTACCTTGAATTATATTTGATAATATATCTAATATCTCAACTTATCTAATTTGGATTATATTTGATATTATATTTGATATTATATCTAATATCTCAACATATCTAACTTGGATTATATTTTATGTTATATATAATATCTCAACATACCCCTATAATCCAAGTTGTCGAACCTACGCTAGTCATATTCGATATGAACTATTCATAATTTCTTTCTTAAATTCAGGAATCTGTCGATCTTCAACTCTTTGGTGAAGATGTCGGTCAACTGTGCTTCACTTGAGAAATGTCCAACTTCAAGTTCACCTCGATTTACCTTCTCTCGTAAGAAGTGAAATCTAGCTTTGATATGCTTACTCCTTCCATGAAGAACTCAATTCTTCGCCAGGTTTATGGTTGACTTGTTGTCGATTTGCAACACAAGAGATTTCTTCACTTCGACCTTAATTTCTTAAAGCACAGATCTGATCCAAATTGCTTGACAAGCAGCATAGGATCCTGCTATATATTCATCTTCACACGATGATAATGCCACTACAGGTTGCTTTTTCGAACACCATGAGATTGGAGCACCAAAGACTTGAAATAAATATGCACATGTGTTTCTTTGAACTTCCTTATCTTCACACCAATTAGCATCTAAAAAACAAGTAATTGTCGCTTCTTTGCTTTCAGAGTCTCATCTAAATAGTATTATACTGTTTATCGATCTATTCAAATATCTCATGATTCTTCTTCCAGCCTTCAGGTGCGACACCCTTGGTTCACTCATGTATTTACTCACTAATCCGATTGTGAAACCTATTTCAGGTCGACTGTTGCACACATATCTCAAGATCCCATAATTTTCTTGAACAAAGTTACATCGACTTTGTCTTCCTCTCCATGCTTCTCCAACTTCACATTTGGTTCAACAGGTGAGGATGTAGGATTCGAATCATCCATTCTAAATCTCTTGAGTATCTCCTTAACATACTTTGATTTAGCACCATACCTTGCTTTGAAATTTGAAATTCCATTCCTAGGATATAAGACAATTTTCCCAGATCTGACATTTCAAATTCCTTCATCATCAGCTCTTTGAACTTCGACAAGTTTTCCAAGCTATTTCCAGTTACTAGCAAGTCATTGAAATATAAGCAGATGATTGTTATATCTTGTACTATAATTCGAACATAGACACCATACTCAGATTTGGATATGGCAGATTCCAATTCGACTAATTATGAATCAATCTTCTTGTTCCATGCCCTAGGTGCCTGCTTGAGGCCATATAGTGCTTTGTGGAACTTATAAATCTTACTCGCTTCCTTATAAATCACAAACCCAGGAGGTTGTATGACATAGACAGTTCGTCAAAAGGACCATTCAGAAATGATGACTTCACATCTAAATGAAATGTCGACCAGCCTTAGTTGCATGCCAATGTAACCACTAGTCGAATATTCTCCAATCTTGCTACTGAAGCAAATACTTCAGAGTAGCTGAGTCCTGCTCTTTAAATAAAACCTCAAGCTATTAATCTTACTTTATGTCTTGCTATTGATCCATAAGCATTGTGTTTCAACTTAAGCACCAACTTTACTTTGATAACTTTTATATGTGTGACAATTCGACTAACTCCTATGTGTTATTTATTTTGATTGCCTCTAACTCTTCGACCATAGCCAACTTCCACTGTTTAATCTTCAAATCCTCACTATAGTTAATTGGTTCAGCACCTTCAAGTAAATCAAAATGAACTAATTTTCCATCTAGTGTGACTTCATTATCACCAATCACTACATAATCATGAAGTCTTGTTGGATGAACTCTAGTTCTTTGAGGTCTTTGGCTTGTGCTAGCCACACCCTCTTCGACGTCACCTGTTTTTGGAATGTCACTACAACAAATAATACATTTCATGAGAGAGCTTTCATGTCTAACACGCTAAAAAACGATAGAATATGTCCTGGGAACGTAATGTTTGATTTTATTAATAAGATGATAAACATGTTACGTCAGTGTTATAAAAAACCGAGGTAACACAACTATAAGTTAACACCTTTTTTAATCCATAAAATAATAATAAACTTGTTATCTCATTTTTGTTTTAGAACCGAGGTAATATAGCTATAACGAACCTCGCTTCGAATCCTATTTTCCATATTTTTTAACTGCTTTCAACGACTTAACACAAAAACTGGGTTAAACAAGAATAGGCAGTAATAGTAAAATTTAAATATTTCATTGATAGGAACTACAACATCACCAAAGCAACTTGAAACAACCGGCTAAAAATCATCAAACAATGAAGTCGCCATCGAACGTCTTTTATCCCATAGGAAGGGAAAGGTAAACATCGAGAAAACCTGATAAGGGAGAAGTCACGGTCTTGCGACCGAGAGATCGAGTAAGGGAGTCTGTTACGCGAGGGGAAGGTATTAGCACCCCACACGCCCGTAGTACTCTATGGTATACACTCTTGTTGTCTATCTTATGAGTGTGTTTAATCTATGCTTACTGTTTATTATTGCTAAGGGGAGAATGCATGCGAAAGAGAGGGGGAAAATGTAGGGAAAATAAAATTGTGCTCGTTCGGGCCCTACCCCGATGCCTACGTATCCCTTTTAAGGAATCAGAGCAGCCATAGTTCGGCTTATGTTTTTGTTGGTTTGTATTTTTTTTACTGAACAACATTAATTTCGCCTTCTGCCGCAACTCGACCTTTGGAGATTTACGCGTCAGCACATGCTCTTTTGAAAAACTTTGGAAAAAATGTGCCTGGGCGCACAAAAAGGTTTGAATTTTGTTTGTGTTTGTAGAGAACGATATTAATTTCTCCTTCTGCCGCAACTCGACCTTTGGAGATTTACGCGTCAGCACAAAAGTGAATTAACTTGTTCTTTTGAAAAGGTTTTGAAAGAAAGGGCCCGAAGAAAAAAGGAATTTTGTGTTGGTTGATATTTTTGCTTGTAGATAACAGCTAGTTAATCTCAAGAGAGAGATTTTAGTCATTTCTCCACTTATTCATGAAATAATTCTTTGAGACTTGAATCATACCAAAGCTTAGAATAAGAGAATAATAAGGTCGAGAAGAAACCCACTTATCATCTCTCAAACTTAGCCAAGACATGGTTCTTGTCAGTAAATTTTTATGTATTTTTGAAGTTTGTAAAAAAGGGGGAAGTTTTTGTTTTAAATGCATATGCAAAAAGGGAAGGAAAAGTCACAGGGAAACTAGTCTATTTCTAAACCTAATTTTATTATACTTCATACGACCTTTATGCAGAGATAAATGCGAGGTGAAAATAGAAAGAAAATATACCAAACGAGTACTAGCCCGTGGAGCAAAGCAAAAAAGTAAAGAGACCCGATGTTCTTGCGAGCTGCTAGCACCAACAAAGAAAAGAGTCATAAATCCAATATTCGGAATAATTATTGAAGCATCATCAATGTGAAAATAAATCACAATCGGCATCTCGAGCGTATCCATATAACATACAAAAAAAACCTGCATAAGACTCGAATCTTGACGAGCAAAAGTGGATTACAAGTCTCGAGTAATCGAATAATCATGAATTAATTCCTAAAGGCAAAATAATAAAAAGAATATAACAAGTTCCCCTCTCTTTTTTTTTGAATTAACCATTGAAATAACAATTAAATAAAATGAATAATAATAAAAAGAGAAAAAGAAAAAAAAAACTCCAAAACGACGGCGTTTACTGTAAACGGCCCCCTCCAGCTTCTTTACGCAGAAAGCCTTTCTTCTACATTCGAAAACAACAACGACGATGCCTCCATGACTCCGTCCCTTCTCCTCTGTTCCAATTCAACTTTCTTGTTAACACAACCTAAAGTCTCCCTCTGTATTCGAATCCTTTGCTGGCTTTCGTCAATTTCTCTTCCTCTATCCCGAATCTAACAACGAAACCTAAGCCCTAAATTGCTTCCGATCAAGATTACATGGTGGATTTATCATTCGCCACGCTTCACCCTTCGCGGTTATGGTTCAGACCAAACGAGAGAAAAAAAAGTCATAAAAAAGAAGAAGATTGAAGATTACCTATTGAAGACACGTCGCTGGTGTTTCAGAAATCCAGAGGTAAAGTAATATAACTATTGTCCTTCTTGATCTTGTTTGCTTCGTCTTGATCCCTTCTTCATTGTCTTACTTTTCTTTGGTTTTGTGGTTATGTGCGTTTGCGTTGGAGAAGAGCGAAAATGATGACAATTATGAAGGTTATCGCAAGTTGAGAAAAATGAACTTTGTATGATGAATCAGAGAGAGGTGAAGCTTCGAGAACTGGCTGAAGGTCGAACAATGGAGAGTGGAGGTGAAGACGGAGTTTAGAGAGGGGAAATTGAAGATGATGGTTTCGGTGATTCTCCAGAACAGTATCTGGAAAAAATGATCCCCCGAGATTGATGAAGAGGAAGGTTTATATAGATGGTTAGCTGAGAAAAGTTTGTTAGAGATTCAAGAAAATTTGTTAGAACAATAGCCTATTACTAGAATGGTTAGAGGTTGGTTAAAATTAGTTATCTGCCTTGTAATTGGTTATAGGAAGAAGTAATTATCGAGTCGGTTATGAATTCTGTTTTCCTTTGTTAGCAGTTTCTGTTATCACTGTTAGAGTTAGTTATAGAATTAGTTAGGGAGTTATAAAATTGTTAGGAGGAAATTGATGAGCTGTTAATTAATCTTCTGTTTCCCATTTTCTAAGCTTCTGTCCTACAAACAATCTTCCAGCAGCCAGCTGCTTTGACAATGGAACATCCAAAATGGCATTTATAGGGTACCATTCATCAGTTAGTTCAACTTGTACCGTGGCATAGTGTTTCTTGAAACCTTCGGGATCTTTTAAACATTCTATGCCATTTTGATTTTCCCATATGCCATTATTTGCATTTCAAAGTTTTATTAGCAATCTCTCCTCCTTATCTAGAGCACGCTTCAGTTCAGAAAGTGCATGTATATCAGCCTCTTTAGCTTCATGTTGCATCATTTGAGATGGTTGAGAACAAGCAGTTTGAGCACAGAGGTTATCAATATATTCTCAGAGGACTTCTCTTTAGGCATGGATGGTCTCCGAAAAATCATCTTGCATCTACTTCTTTGTTTGATTGGAGTTATGAGAATGTGGAAGAAAATCATGAAGAATGTGTTAGAATGTTCCACCCATGCTCAAACCAACGGGACTCTCTTGATAAGCGACCCTACTGCTGCTCAATTCAGCATCTCGTCGAAGTAGAACGTGAACTGATGATGAATACATCAATAAAATTTTGACTAGGTTTTCTATGACCTTTGACACTCTTGGTATTTGAATCGTGAGTTTTTCCATGGCCATTTCCAGAAGCTACTGTGGTTGTACTTCCCAGAACAACCTTCCCATCAGTACTCTGTCCTTGGTCTTTATCCAATGATTTATCCCTCTCCTTTTCTTCATCCTTGGATTTGTCTTTATAACGGTCTTTCAGCAAGACAATGTAAGGTCTTTCACCCACCATTTCAGCTTGGCAATCAAATTGAGCAGCTTGCATAAAAACTGCTGGATCCCGAGCAATCACAGAAGCCAAATTTAAAAGAAAATTGCGAGGATTGACCCTTCCATTTGGATGTCGGTTGGACACAGCTAAAAGATTTTGTTTTATCTCGGATTCCATTGCTTTCCGAAGTGTTTATAGATCTTCAAGAATATGACGGACAATACTAGCAGCAACATTGTCAAACCTAGAGAAGAGGCTACCTGTTGGCAGAGAAAGAAGTAGACTTATACCACCAGCATCCAAAAAAGCAAGGTCAACAGAATGATTCCTTGTAAGATTGGAACATAGTAGCAGAACAACGTGCATTGTGTCGGAGGGAAGTTGATTCTTCATACAACTACACGCAATCTCAACAAGTCTCTTCTGCTCATGTATATCTGCATACTTCATAGAGAGTCCCAATGCAGACTGTAACTTGCTTTTCCTATCTTCATCAATAGTAATTGATGCTTTCTGGCTATTCACAACTTCCTTCTTCAGCTGCTCTGTGATTTCAGAATTTAATATTTGATCCACCTGCAACAACCTGTCTAAGGCAAGAAAAGCAGTTGTGACCCATTATGGCACCTGCTGTTTCTCCTTGCTATCAAGACTAGAATCCCACTGGTTGAGTAGATCGGAGGCAATTCTGATCAATCCACTTTTGGAAGCAGCTTCTCGTGCCACGGGATATTCATTAAGAATTAAAGCAAGAATATGAAAAAGAGTAACCAGCATGATGTAATTTTCAATGCTAGAAACTATACCATATTCTTTGACCCGATCGACAATAAATGTGACAACACTAGTTCTGTGTTTACCATCATCCTAGGAGCATATCATCACAAGCAAGTCGCGGACAGGAAAAGCAAGAGGTTCTTTCATCAGAAGTTTTGTGCAGGTAGATAACAATTCATCAACAGAAGGAAATTGGACTATCTCTTCTTCAAGCTGCTGAGCAGATGTATTTGCATTTGAATTTGGAACTGCATCTTTGGTGTCTGATTCAGAGCTTCCAAAGGACATTGCAAGTGCCCGGGCAAGTTCATCATCTTCTGGTACTTCCTCTGGATGTGAGAACAACCACTCCATTGCCAACTCTACACTATTTGACCCAACGTGTCTCAAAGCTTCCTCTTCTCTAGACCGCGAAAAACCCATCTCTACAATGGTAGAAATAGTTGTTTCATTACGAGAACCACCACTGCCATTTACATTTTTTTACTTCAACCCCTGAATAAACATGCCTAATGATAGAGATAACTGCAGAAATAAATTCGTAACTGCAGTCACCAAACTGAGGATGAGTCCAAACAGGAAGCACGGTCTTCAACACTGTGGATTGGAGGACTTTCATAAAAGTCTCAGGATCCCTTAGGAAAGGTGTGTCACTATTTGAAAGGGGTTGTGCAAGCAAATGCTTAGTGAATGATGATAATATAAAATATGATGTTACTAGATAGTCCATAAGTTTACCATAGCTAGCTAAAGCACTATAAATCCATGAATGATCTGTATCTTGCTTGTCATCAAGCTTCACATTCCCATCATCAGTTTCCATAGGTGATGCAGGGGTCCAATTAACTGTAGAGAGCAATTGACTAGTAGCTTCAAGCGTGGTCAGTAGAAATTGAATAACCCGACGCCCATACAAACAAATCAGCAGAACAGGCTTGCAAGAATTTGTCCTCTCTATTAAAATAATATAAAAAAATCCATGACTTTTCCAAAGTAACGGCATTTTGCTGATATTGAAGCTTCAGTTACATGGCCACCAAAATTCATGTGATCTAAAGCAATGCATGCAAAAGTAGAAGCCACTGATTTTGAAGCAGGGCTTATGCTCACAATATCATCACGTCGGCGAGAAGGTTGCAGCATTATTTTTCCCAACTCTTGGAACAGATGGGTAATGTGAAATGAAAGTGATATGACCATGTCATAACAAGAAGTATAATGCGTCCTCTGCTTGTCACGCTCCTTATTATTAGCCCCAGAAACATCCACAGACCCAGAATGATTCAACTGATTACTGGAACTCAACCGCCTGTTTGAAGAACCAATAGAATTTGTTCAGTGTGGAGAACCAGTGGCACGGCCCAAATCTCGATAGAGATTAATAAGATAAAAAAACTGTGATTCTGTTCCCCAGCCTGATGTCCTTCTTATAAGTAATGGATCAAGAATTTTCCTGAAAGAATTAAATCTTTGATTTTCAGTTTCGTTTGCATCAACTTCAGCTTGTTGTGAATCAGTTGAAGAACTAGAAACATTATTCTCTGTCTCACGCTTTGTATTTTCAAGTAGAGCAACTTGCCATAAAACTTCACGGTGGACATGACCAATGTTTTCAAGAACATCCTTGCTGTCATTTCCAAACTCTGTAAGCAAAGCAGTCATCCAGCGGCTGTCTTTTGAAGCAGCAAGAAAGAGAAGGAACTCAACCAGGAAAAGTGAAGAAAAAGTGTTATTTTCAGTTGTCATCCTTGGATCCAGTAACAAAGGTCGTGGGTCCACATCAAAACCGGTTATCACTATCTTCAAGTGCTCTCTAAGGCCTGAACAGAAAGCACGTGCCAAAGGTGTGGAATGATGTTTTGCAAATCCTTTAAATACCATGGTGTTATGCAAAGCAATAGACATACCATCTGAGGATTGTGCAATAGCTGGTCTTAATAACAGCTTCAATAAAGATTCAATTCCTGATCTTTCCACAAACAAATGACAAGTTTCGGCATTTTCCATAGTTCGGTGAACCAACACCATCAAATGAAAAATGCATAGCTGAACAAATTGCTCGTCCCTTATCCCTTCAGCGGCAGAATCTTCTGAACCTACCAGGAAGCAATGGTTTTCATTTTCCTTATCTTCAGAATATGTTTCCATTGCACTGCCCTCATTAGCTTTTCATGAAGAACCTGCAGCACTACCGTCTCCAATGGATGCAATCTTATGGATGATTTCAATGATAATGTCAACACTGGTACCTCTCAATGAAGACACGTGTCGTAGAAGTTCCTCAACAGAATTTGCCTAAGGAACAATAGCCTCATTCATGGCTGAGACATACTTTTTACTTGTGAAGATGTCAACAAGAAACTGCAGTGATGATGTTTCTTTGACAACCTCTAAACCTTTGGCATTAAGACAAATGGCCCCAAGACCATTCAGAATGCATGTCAAAGCCTTCGAAGAAGGGAGTATTCCAGATAAAATTGAAGATAAAAAAAGCCTCAGGAAGACCCATTTCATGCAGAGCAGAAAAGCATGTAGGATATTTGTGGATCATTTTGCTCATAACAGTACCAACAGAATAGTAAATGTCACCTCCAAATTTATTTACATTCTGGAAAATCGAGACCAGAGTTACTGGAAATTGGCCATCATTATAGTGTTGAGATCTGGTAGGGTTAGCAGGGTTATAAGTTGCGGAACCAAGTGCCTTAAGGGACACTTTTATGAGTGAAGCATATCAGTATTACGTCTTATGATTTCACCAGTGAGCATCGAATTATCATTTTCTCCAACAAAACCAATGACCCTGTGAACCTCAGTATGCAATCTTTGAGCAAAAAGTTTAATACCTCCCAGCTCTTTAAACAAAGATACAGCCGAGCTACTATAATCCATAAGCTTCTGAAGGGTTTAAGTATCACTAACAGTTTTGGCATTTAATTGAAGCTTGCTTAGCAGTACTACCACTACCTTGTTTCATAATTTCATTCTCAAAACCATTCCTCAACCT